GGGCCGCTGCGGGCTCCGGCAGGGGGCCGGCGACCCGCGCAGACCGCAGACGACGAGGAGGGCGAGGCTGCCCAGGCCCGCCGCCAGGGCCACCTCTGTCCGTGGGGGCCGCGGAAACCTCATCCTGCTTGGCGCGGGCTCGGGACGGACCGGAGAGACCCCTGGGCGGCTCCTGCGGAGAAGCACACTCCCTGAAGACCCCCGCCCGGCCGAGCGCGTCCCCGGCTCCCGGGGGCCCCGCAGCCGGCCGCAGCCGTGCAGTCGCCGAGGTTGGTAGAGTACTGAAAGTCACCCCCACTCCCCGCCCCCCCCACCGTGGTGGCTCCCACAGTTGCCCAGGCCCTGCTGGGGATTAAACAGTTACAGAGAAAACAGCGCGAGATGCCCAGACTCCGAGTGTGCCCAGACCCCACCGCCACATCCAACCTGGTCCTCCTCGTCCCTGCCTCAGGGACGGCCCAGCCCGGGGAGCCTCCCTGAGGGAGGCAGAGAACTCCTTTTCCATCAGCTGAGAGCTGCTGGGATTCACGCTGCTTCCCTTTTCACCTGCACCTCCAGGAAGCTCTGAGCTGGGCTTCTGGTGCAACCATCACCTATTCTTAACTATTTTTAATGGTCCTGTGACCAGAGCATGGCGCCCGGCTTCTCACAGACCCCTGAGGCCCAGCATGTCTCCAACAAAGCTATCTTCCTTCGTCCTTTAAAACCCATCTCAAATGGTCTGTTCTCTGGGAAGTCCTCTGACTCCTCGGGAAGAGCCCTGGTTCTCTGTTTCTCACCTCTAGCCCTATCCCCCCTTCTGGCCCAGTCCTGATCCTATGGCGGTGTCTGTGTCTGGCTTTGTCTTCCCAAGACTGGGGCTTCTTGGAGGTCCTGGCATCACCCAGCGTGAGGCAGATGTATGGGGGAAGCCAGGAGTATTTGAATGAATAAATTTATGAATAAAAGTAAACTCATTAAGTTTCTCTCTGGCAAATTCTTATTCATCCTTCAAAACCCCAGCTCTAATGTCCCCTCCTCCTGGAATCTCCCCCTCCTCCCCAGATCTAGGCAGAGCCCTTAGTCTTCTGTCCACGTCCCTTTCCCAGGCTTCCCTGGACTCCTTCAATGTCCTTTTATCTGGAAAGGTGGCATCTGTCCTGTTTTCCAGCCCTAAATTTGAGGATCTATTTTCTAGTGCAGTATCAAAGAGCTGGATTAGACTCAAAGCAGGACTTACGCATTCAGCACACACTTACTGGCTCACCCCAGAGAGCTGCAGACTCTGGAGCCCAACTCCAGGCTTTAAATCCGAATTCCACCACTTCCTGGCTGTGTGCCCTCCATACCTGGGCCTCAGAGTCCTCAGCTATAAAAGAGGTGGCTGAGCAATCCTCAACTCACAGGGCTGTGCAGGCAGGAAGGGAGCTCCCAGCCCCTGGCACCTATGTGGGCACTCAATGAGTGTTTGTTGAATGAATATTCTGCACTTACCTCAGGCCCCCTCAGGGTGTCTGTGCTGGTCTGGGCTCTCCTTGGTCTCCCCAGTGGCACCTGGAACAGTGTGTGGCAGTCAGTGGGTTCTGGGAGGGCCCCCCAGCCCAGAGAGACCCCACCCAGCTACTGCCTGGGAGCAAGGAAGAGAATGGCTTCCCGTCTCCACCTAGAGCCGCCAACAGGTGTGGGAGACGGGTACAGGGCCTCCCTCCCTGATCCACGAGGCCATCTCCCCAACGTGCCCGACCCTGTCTCTGCGCACTGCCTGGCCAAGGCCTCTCCAGCCAGATGTCTCCCCAAAATGGGGCTCAGATCCCACCCCACAGGTTCTGCTTTGTGACCTTGGGAAAGATGCTTGAGCTCTCTGAGCCTCAATGTAAAATGGAGGGAATTAACCCTATGTAAGAATGTTGTTTGGGGGATTTTAGCCTCAAGCATGCTGGGCATGGTCCTGCCTCAGGACCTTTGCACAGGCTGTTCCCTCTGCCTGATTCCCCACATTTCCACAAAGGTCCCTCCCTCACCCCTCTCATGTCCTTGCTCTTTAAACGTCGCCTTCTCAGGGAGGTCTCCTCAGGACACCTGCCCCGCTGGCAGCTTTGACTGCCTATTGTGTTCTATTTTTTCTTGCTTCCACAGCATTTTTCACTACCTCAAATACACAACAGAACTTTTAAAATGTATTATTTCTCGCCCCTCCCCCACGCGCTCCATGCAGCCCATCTTAGTCATCATTTTATCCCAGCCCCGGGCCTGCACTGGGCGCACAGCAGGTCTTCAGGAAGTGCGTGCTGAATTAATCATGAATGATGGATGCTGGACTGCACCTGAACACATTCTGACTCTCAGAATGAATTCATACATTTATACTGTGCTTCTCCCGTGCGCCAGGCACCCCCTGGGAGCGGGGGACACGATGGTGACCAGCCGCAGGGTCCCAAACGTCCCTGCCACTATGGAACTCAGACTCTCGAAGGGGAACACACAGTGAAGAGAAGCCTCATGAAATGGTACGAGGCGATGAGGGCCACAGGAAGAGATGGGGTCTGGATGACAGTCAGGCTGGGATGTGAACACACGGAGGAGCGGGCACGGCTGAGGTCTGGGGGAAAGGTCGGAGAGGAGGGAACAGCAGGTGCAAAGGCCCTGAGGCGGGAATGAGCTGGCTGGCGGAGCCCCAGCAGCTGCTGCAGGACCTGCCTGTGGCAGGGGGTGGTGTGAGGGGGTGGGGTGGGTAGGCAGAGCCTGTGTTGTTGCTGTGGCAGCCTGGGAGGGGCTGCCGGCCTGGGGTGCTGGAGGGCAGGTCTGGGAGACTCAAAAAGGCAACTCATCTTGGGATGAGACTGTGATCTGACAAATATGGCGCAAGGAGGCACTGACTCTTAGAAGGACATCTTCCTGAGCTGCAGAGGCCCGAGTCCAGGGTGGACGACAAGAAAGGAGCGTTCCGGGCCAACCTGGCAGATCCGGAGCTCCAAGGATGGGAAAAAACGTGTGAGCTGCAGGAGAAGAAGCAAGTCCTCAAAAAGAAAGTCAGACTGAAGGAGGCCGCAGCCCTCTCCTGGGCCACACCGGCAGCCGGAAGTCCACGGACAGACGCTGGAGGACAGGGGTGCGCTTGGGAACCCAGCTCCGGGGCAAGGGACACCTGCGTTCAGGACCTGTGAGAACCGAGAGGGTCATTCACCCCGGCCCCAGATGCAGTTTTGAGTCTAAATGAGGATTTTCAAAGGGAGGCGGTTCTGCCCCCAGGCGACATTTCTGGTGTCACCACCCGCCAGGGTGGAGACGAGAGACTGCTAATAGCATTGAGAGGGCGGAGGCCACAAACTAACATCCTGTAGGGCGCAGGAAGGGCCCCGCCAGAGAAGATAATCAGCCCAAATGTCACTAGCGTCAAGGTTGAGAAATCCTGGTCCACACGGCCCGGACCCTGGACTGGAGAACTCAGGAGCGGCTCCCAGAGGGCAGTCAGGGACGAACAAGGAAACTAGACATGGGTGGGGGCGCAGAAGTGGCCACCCCAAAGTGTGTTTCTTTGGTTTGATTGTTTTTAGGGACAAAAGACCCTGAAAGAGACTTTGACCTTCCCCCTAACTGCCTAAAACAGCTTCAGAGGGAAGACGTTCCAGGCGGGGCCGCCCGCGGGGACCGAGGCTAACGAGTGCCGTGGACGTGGACAGGAGGGCCCAGCCCTCGCTCTGATCCGAGTTCTGGCTCTCAGGGGCGCCGGCCGCAGAGGGCCCAGCAAACATCTGTCTTCCAAACGTTGGCTTTTCCGTCTCCATGGGAATTGCCTTCCCCCACTTTGAAGTCCCAAACCACAACCCTCAACATTCTCCTTGTCTTTAGCTGAAGACAGTGTTTCAAGTGGCGGCCTTGGCCATTTTGGCAAGTGACTCAAGTTTCCTGGTTTTCTCCCAGGTTTACATGTTATTAAACTTTGATTTTCTCCTGTTATTCTGTCTCATGTCAATTTAACTCTTAGACCAGCCAGAAGGACCTAGAGGGCAGAGGAATTGTTCTTCCTCCCCTATCTAACTTCATCATATGGAGTATTTATGAGATTTATATTTATATATTCCATTATAATATATATTCCATTTATTAAATGGAAAGTCAAACCTAAATGGCCAAGGATCAGTTCACTGAGAATGTGTTTTGTAAGTTCCAAACAAGGGATCGAAAGGAAAGGAAGATCCTTCAGCAAATACGAATATTTACAACTCAGCCAAACGTGGGCCTGGGGCGGGGGGAAGGCGTGAGAAGTGCTAAAACAATCAATGGCTCATATTACTGGGATCAGGGTGTCAGGACAAAACGCAACCTCTTGGGGTGGCCATTTGGTTTTAATCAGTTCCATTAATGCCTATCTTTTCCATTGCATTTTTCTTTCTCGTTTATTTATCAGAACTCTTTGCACATGAGACACCCTTTGTTGGCTACCTGCATTCCCAACTTTTTCCCCCCAGGTCTGTGGTTTCTCTAAATGGAAGGATCCCACAGCTATTTCACTCTCCCAGCCCCTAGGAGCCTCCTGATTGGGGTCTGAGAGCTCAAGTTGGGGGCAGGGGAGGGAGGCTTGCTCCCCCTCCTCCTATGTTAGACCTCTACTAATGCACCCAACATTTCTTCCCTTTTCCACCCACCAAGGCCCCCGTTGTTAACTCATGGCCCCTTAAAACCTCAAGCAGGAAATGTTGCCATCCTCACAACATCCCACATCCGGGCTAGTCTGAGAAGGCACCTCCAGGCCTCCCTTTCAGCGAGCTTGAGAGGGCCGAGGATGCACTGGCCCAGCAAATCTTGCCGGGCACCCCCATGGACTCTGCCACAGGTAGTCACCATCCTGTCCTGAGGGGTCTTACTGTCCGAAGGGGCTGGAACCC